ATAAAAAATAAAAAAATAGTATATATATATATATATAATAATAATAATTATTATTATTATTATTATTATATTATTTATTCAATTTTTAATTAAAGATGAATACCAATGTTTGTTGTTTGTTGATTCGATTGGTGTTGTGGTTGGCCCTGTTTAAGATATAAATAAGGTCTCATATCGATAAAATAAAAAAAGAAATAGTAATTTATAAGACACGTATACTCCAATGATAGAAAGGCCTAAAAGCAAAATCGTGAGGACTTAAATGTAAAACAGACAATATCTCACCATTGTAGAGTTATGTGTAAATTAACTTTAATATAAATATATCCAAACAAGCCTTCAAAAAATAACCCTAATAGGTCCTCAAGCTTTAAAGTCTTAACTTCGAGTATTGGGTTTGATAAAAAAAAAATGACCCTCAGAGAGATAATCTTAATGTAATTGAAGTTCAACTAATCCCTCTTATACCTTGTTTAAAATCAAATTTGTTTATAATTTTCTTTCCACTTTTTTTTTTGGGTGATGACTATGCATTGTTAATATAAAAACTTTTACACGGTGTAGACTAATAAAAAATATTATTAATATGATTTTTAAGATAATTATTATAAAAAAATATAAAGTAATTTGTGATTAAAAATCCAATGTTTTACATTATTAATGCATTTTTTTTATTATTATCATAATTGCGTATAATTGTAATAAATTAGGGAGTTGCTCCTATAAATTTGAAATATTGAATGGTTTTGAAAGGTTTCCTATGTAGATCAATTAATTAAACAAATGTAAGATAATAATGTTATATTAACTTTCCTAATAATTTTTCTTTTGTTGATAAATTCTTTTCAATGAAACCTTAACAAATCGTAAGATATTGGTTTGAGATCAAAGTAAAAGAAGATAACAACTTGAGATCTTTCCAAAATTAGCATCAACTTTATCTTCTTTTTCTCCCTCTAGTAGTTTTGGCATTGCGAACAACTTCTAACCCTTGTTCTAATATGAAGATTTTTTTTCACAAGAATACGAATAATGGAAGTAGACATAATAGCGAGCACTAAATTTTAAATCGAGTGACAACGTAAAAAATAAAAGGAGGTAATAGTAAAGAATTTTCAATTGTAGGGTGTACATGTTTAAGTTAGAATTTCCAAAAATTAAAAAAAATGCAATTTTTTTTGTAAAAAATTAAGGACCAAATTAAAATATACAATAGTTCAATATTAATACAATGCAAAGTAATGATTGAAAATTGATGACGTGACAAAAAGTCAAACGACAATTCTAAAACCCTCTCAAAATGTTAGGATAAGGTAGAAATTATCAATGTTATAGACTGAGATGTAAGTAGACTATTTTTAATGATAAATTATTAATATATATTATATTTTTTCAAAAACAAATGTTTATACAAGTTCTGTAAAATGTTTATACAATTCAAGTTCTAAAAAATTAATGAAATACTTGGATATTATATATTGACTCATTCATGGTTATGAAAACAGCGAATATAAATTTTACATAAATATTGTTACCATAATATTTTCACACGTAGTTGTTTGCGGATTCTGCTTCTATTATGTAGCGCTGCTTTTGAAGGAAAAAAGATGCCGAAGAGCTTCTACTATAGGTGTCTGGGTTCTCACTTCTAAGCCTGGCCCAATTCAAAGATGCGTCAATATATCTACAGTATCTCTTAGTTTTTGTTGGTCTCTGTTTATATGCACAAGACCAGCTCGGCATATTTTATTGCATAGATAAATGTTCGAAGTCTCTAGCTAGGCTACCAGTGTCAAGTATATATGTCCTATCATCTGGAAGCCCAAATAAACATGATAGCATATCCTAACTTAGTTCAGGCCCATTTATTTCACAGGACAAGGAAGGAGTAAACTACTATCTTGAGTCAGGAGACACCTAGACCTAGAGATTAGTTAGAGTCAGATTACTGCATGCCTGTTTATTTTAGATTTTCAACATTATAAACCATGATAGAATAGAAGCTATTAGTTATAATTTTTACATGTAATTTTTACTTTGATTCACGTTTTGAACATGGAACCAAATACGCACTAGGTAAAAGTGCATGCTTATTTCATGACCTGATCTCTTAAAACCTAAAAGGACATATAAATTTATTTGATAAACAAATGGAAGTGAAATATATTCGTATTAAAAAAAAAAGTACAGGCAGCTAAGAAATAGACTACACTAGAAACATTACAACCGCAATGAGAAGTTGCTTTCTTTGCAAAGTATCAAATGGTATCATTGCAAAAGTACCAAAAAAAAAAAGTAAAACCAAAAAAAGTAGTATGATTACAAAGAATACTTTCTCTTTGGTTGCTTGGATTGGGAACATGAGACGTATTATGTATGTAAAGTTCAAAAATGAAAATGTCAAACTTGACGGGAAGAAAAAAGAAAGACACGATCGACGACTACTGACCACATTCTCCCCCAAGAATCCTGCTCTAGATCTCATCTTGCCGCAAGCCTCCTATTTTTGTTTTGTTTTTGTTATTTTAGGCTTACTTTTCATTGGAAAAGTAATTATTATTTAGGTGGTGGTTGTCCATGTTTGTAATTACACAATGAAGAATATTATTATGTACCATTTACGTTTACTCTGGCCAGCAGACTATCTTTCGAGCTTCATTGTTCTGGGCTTAGGCTGTGATACGACAGCTTTCTCTTGCTCAGTAAGTGCATGGCGGAAATGGCATCTATGGCCATAAGGGCAGACAACCCCAGCAAGGACCATCCTGCAGACCTCAGTTTTGTAGCGTGGGTGGCGGATGACTGGGCGAAGCTCCCCAATACCGTGAGCAAATTGGCAGTGGTCTCCATATGGGCATGTGCCAGTTTCTTGCCACTTATTGCACAGCTCAGTCTTGAACATCCCTTGGTTATACACTACCATTTCAAGAGGCTCTTCCTCTTTCTGCCCTCCACGCACATATACCTTTTGCTGTACCATAGCATAGCAACATACACAAAAAATCAACAACCAAATAGCATAAATTAACAATTAAAAACAAATAAATAATCCTCCCTATTCTTCAGAATGGCAACAATCAGATCTAGCTAAATTAGATATATATCATCGACGTATTCTCACTAAATGTTCCATTTACAACTTCAACCATATAATTGTCAAATGGTTTTCTAGATTATATGCTTGATTATGCATTTATATTTCGGGATCCACGTGCACAATATATTATGTATACCTTCCACACGCACTAATTACGTTAGCTACTAAAATGACATCTTTATGTTCTTGGCTGACAAAGACTTTTCATCATACAATAAAATATATTTGCATCAATTTCACCCTACCAATAAAAATCGATAAAGTCATCTCACAGGTCATTAGGTATTTTTTGTTTGTGGCTATTAAAACGTTGAACTTACAAACCACTACCAACAGAATGACAGATCTTCACAGTGCTTGTCTATCATAAATATTTTAAAAATTTAGAGGTGCAAGAATAATAATAATAATAAAACTATTTAGTGGACGTTGTATGGCTAGCTCCATCTATATTTTTAGTCTTGCTATTTTATATTTCAAAATTCAGAGATTGTGAAAAATAATTATTCAATCACTTAGATATATAATACTAAATACCTATGGCTCCATGTATCCAGAATAATTTTACTCGGAACATGATAGAACCCCACCTAACGACCCAAAAGCCCAGGATGCTGGCCACCAAACAGGGTTACAACTGTCACAGAAAGGTTTGGGCTACTACTACTTTCTTTTATGCCTCACAGCAACTTGAGCTAATGGGTCCGGTGAACCCGAATGCTAACTAGAGTTGCACACTTCCAAAACAAGCACACGCAAATGAAAACAACAACCACAAACCACTCCATTCGTTGCAGCTACCAGGTAATGACATAGACAAGCAAGGTTTTACTTCTTTTGAAAGGAAAATAATTAGCAACTAACAAGCACGTCAAGTACGGTAAATAACGATAAAATCAATAATCTCACCGCAAAACAAATAAGATAATAATAATATCAATAATTAATAAAAAAGGAAGTTAGCATGTGTGTGTGTCCTTACAACGGCTTCAGGTGGAGTGGCGGAGGTGCGTGGACGAGTGGCACCTTTGTTGCGAGAGGCGTTATTGTTGGCGGCTAGAGCCGCAGACTGAGCCATCTTCAAGTAGCCATTGGACCTCACAGATATGCTCTTAGGGAGAGAGAACCTCTCCACTTCCACCACGTTATTCTCAATAACGCTCGTTGGACTCTCGTCTGAAATTTCCTGCAGCTCCTTGTTGCCATTACTATTCATGTTGTTATGACTATTATTAATATTGTTATTGTTGTTATTCCAATCGGCGCAGTTCTCTTTACCCTCTCCAATGTGCAGGCCGCGGAAGCTGTGCGCCACATCAAACAGCGTCGGTTGCGGCTGGCCGGAGGAGCCGCC